ACTTTGAAATGTATGATCGTCCGGACGAGAAATTTGTTAAGTGGTGTCATAACTAGCAGACGCGACCTGTTATCCGGAAGTCGGGAAAGAGGTGGGTAGAAGGGAGGTGTGAGTGCTCCGTATCCACTTGATTAAAAGACATAATTTGTTCTCAGTTTCCCCACTTGATTCCAGCGCTCCCAGAGTAATGAATAGCTTCCAGGTCCAGCACTGACACGTTAGAGTTCTGTCCCGTTACTTTCGTATCTACCACCTGCCCCCCCCCCCCTCCCTTTTCTTTCCTTCTCACTTTTTTTTTTTTACTTTTGTTGCAATCGTTTCCATGGAAACGACATTATCCGGAAGTAATAAAGAGAAGCTTGACGACTCGCTCGAGTGATTTTTTTTTGTTTTTGTTTTTGTTTTCCCGCAAAAAGCTCTCACCTAATCCGTTCCCGTCTCTAGTCAACTGTGACGAATTGGTTTTCAATTTCGTTAGGCGTGGAAAGGGCGCCAATTTGTAAAGTGTCTATTTACTTTCAATAGGAAACAACTTAAACGTGGGGCGCGACGGAGAACATAGGCTGGCGTTCCCAGGGCGCTTGTATTTGTCTAATTGCCTTTGTTCATCGAAAGCTGGCCAACTAAATAGGTAGTTCTCGAACGAATTCCTATTTCAAGGAGTCATTAGTTATGCGTCTAGACAAGGCTGAAATGAAGTTTGATCTGTCAGCTAACGAATTACTTATTCAGCTAAAGTGAAAAGAAATTAAAAATAAAGGAATGGCCAAGCTTAGCTTCTAAACTGAGTCACCAGTTCGAATCCCTCTGAAGACTGGGATAATTTTGAGATTTGTATGGCTTCCCAAAATTCATTGAGATATAACAGTAGATAAAAGAAAAAAAAATGCAAATGAAGTACCTAGTAACAGCTTCTGCTAGATAATTGTTCATGAGTTGATTCCCTTGTGTGCTTAATATGTTGTTAATGGCAATCAACAAAGTACAGCCTCCAAACTAAAATTTATTACAACTCCTATCTTTTCATTCAAACTGAAATGACATTACCAAGATGTGTGTGTGTTTGTTGAAAATAGGATAAACATACAAAAGAAGATAATTGTTAGATAATAAAAGATAAATTAACTTTCACCCAAAGATCAATTCAAAACAAAACGGTTGGCTACTGTACTAAACTATACACAGCATGAGCTATGATAGTATCTAAACATTGCTAATGATTAAACATAAAGCAACACGAGTCTGTGGGAGTTTGTGCAAAGAAAAGTAAATATCTTCAGAATTTGAAGGAACATCTGAAACATGTGAAATATTTTACAAGCTGAATCATATACAAAATAAACATGTCCGCATTTACACTTTACATTGACAGCCACATATACACACACGATCACAAAGCCAAAACAACTAGCACTCACACTGTCACACACCCACACACACCACTACACAACCCCACACATAACTGACGATCATCAATATAAATTATCTTTGTCTTTTACCAATAATTAACCACATGTCTGCTCGTGAGGTCAGCAAAGACACGGACCGACAATGCGGTCACTCATATCAGCGACTGGGGAGGAAGGCGGGTGGCCGGGGGATGATATTCCGGTGTTGATCAAACTTGTCATACACTGATGGGACGTCCGCCCCTTACCTCTCCTTCTCCCTGGCTGCATTGGTATCAAGCCGCCCGTTATTATCCGAGGCGTCTCAATGACTTGTTTTCATTTCATAGCGTTCGGTGGCGTGGTCAGGGCCGGCGCCCTATTACCCTTAAGGCATTCACACAGATATGTTGAAGTGTCCTTGAAAGGAGAAGGTCATTGACAGAAGATGACACGATTTTGTTTTCATATTATGAGAATAAATAACAATGGCGGAGATTTCATGCACATTTCAAGGACTTCTAAAAATACTATTGTTTAAAAGCCTCATTGTCATTCTGAGAAAATCGTATTTTTTAGTCTGTCTTATGTAACAAGTGTAAACTGGACCCCAAGTAGACATCTAGCTTAGCTTTTTATTCAAATATACACATTCTCAAACTGACTCAAAGCTGCACGTAAGAGGAAAAGGGGAAAGGAAGCAACTGGTCAGCTGGCTACTTGTGGTCATTGCAAAAGTTAAACAAATTACAGACAACTGACGACGTACTCTAAAATAGCACAGCCTCAGTTTAAAGATATTGCAGTTGAAAGATATTGCCACATTTTAATGATATTGCCTTGGTTTAGAGATATTGTCTATGGATAAAAATATGGCGCTCTTCTAAAAATATTTTTTTCCTTACAATGTAATATATATGACCATGGGCGTAGCCAGGGACCCCAAACCCCCCCCCCTCCCCCGAAATTAAATCTCCCCCCTGCGGGGGGGGGGGGGGGGGAAGGTGAGTCGGAATTTAGTAACTGATTTTTGGCTTTGATTTTGTTTATTTTAGGTGAGATTTTAATACTAAACCATTACTTACCCCAGAGCAGTCAAATGGGTTTTGAGTTTAAAACCTACTACCGGGGGTTTGGCAGTTCAATCCCCCTCTTCTATAAAAAAAAAATGCAAACGACAATTCCCAAATTTCAATAGCACAGCTAAGAAAGATTTTGATTTTAAACTCCCCTAAGAAATTAAACCCCATCTTCAATATAAGACTAAAGCATACATTCGTCACCAGATTCTATGAGCATAGCCTAGTGAAGGTTGGTGTTTAAAACCCTCAATCCAGTGAGGTTTGAAGCTAAAAACAACCACTTCAATATAAAAAACAAATTACACACTCAAAATTCTATAAGCGTAGCCAAGAGTGGTTTTGAGTTTACACCCCTCCTCCTGAGGGCTTTAAATTTAAAACTCCTCTAGATGGTTTTGAGTTTAAACCCCTTCCAGAGAGGTTTGAAGCTAAAAACCACATTTTCAATATAAAAAAATTGCACACTTACGATAAAACCTTCTCCAATATAAAAAAAAAGCAAATTACACACTCAAAATTCTATGAGCGTAGCAAAAGGGGTTTTGAGTTTAAATCCCCCTTCAGCGGGGTTTGAAGCTAAAAAAAATATACTTCTTTAATATAACAAAAAGCAAATTACGCACTCAAAATGCTATGAGCGTAGCCAAAGGGGTTTTCAGTTTAAACACCCTTCAATGGGGTTTTAAAGCTAAAAAATACCTCTTCAATATAAAAAAAGCAAATTACACACTCAAAATTCTATGAGTGTAACCAAAGGGGTTTTGAGTTTAAACCCCCCTTCAGCGGGGGTTTCAAGCTAAATAATACTTCTTTAATATAAAAATTCCCTTTTCGATAGATAAATCTAAAACATCACCTAATTCAAAGAGCGTAGCAAAAAGAGGTTATACATTTCTACCAGTGGCTGGGCTCCATTAATAAAGTGCAGTGAACAGTCATCTGCGGAAATTGAAAAATATTAAATGTGGCTCAAACAAAGATGGCTAAGACGGATTTTAGGAGTCAATTATAGAGTCTATAGATCGGGTCTCAATCAAGGAAAGCCTATGACGAACTGGGAGTCGACACCTTAGAAAGATTGTGACAGAGCGTCGCATGAAGTTTACTTGATATGTTCTCCGACAAAATGAATTACGCATAATAAGAGTTGCGATGGCATGAAGGCCATTGCGAGGAAAGCACAAACAGGGACAACCTAGTATATATATATTGTTATAAACCTGGTGGTGGCACAGATGGGAATAGTGGTGTGTGTGTGTAGTCAGCCGACGCAAATCATCCCAGGCCAGCGCTGGGAGAGAGGTCAACCGTGACGAGTTACGACGGTCGGCCGAGACGAGTGTCAACATGATGGTTCGGGAAGGATCGACGTCGTGAACAGAGCTCAGGAGCGTCACGAGAGTTGTAGTCATCTGACCACCTCGAAACGTCGAGGGGCGTTCTGTCCGGTTCGAGAAGGCCAGTAGGGACCCTATATAAAGAGCTTAGGTGTCGCAGTCAAGACGGTCGAGAAAAGGGTCTCAATACAGCAAGGTTCACGACAGGGCTCAGAACACGGTCGACTACAGCACAGTTCAACGGTGTGGTTCTGTACGGAGCATTACGACGGTTCAGTGCGGAGTACTGTCAATTACAGTTGAGACGACTGGCGTCTTGATCTTGGTCTGCGATCGAGTCCGACACATCAAGCCTAGTGAGTGAAGTCAGTCCTGAACAGTTGAACCCAGTGCAAGCCCGGAACGAGACGGAGAGGCCAGTGCAAGAGTTGATACGGCGGTACAGTGTTATCGGAGAGAAATTTGTACAGTGTACGTGTTGCCAATTGTACAGTATTGGCTCAGATTTATTCACCTATAAAACTGTTACGTTATTTTGGAGCCCTGAGTTGTCTTCTTAAAGTTGGTTGTGTAAGGTGCAGTTTGCAGAGAGCTTGGATAGTGAGATTCGTAATAAAGATTAATTACACAAACACACACACATATATATATATATATATTTAGCGGGGAGGGGGGAGAAAAAATCCCCCTCAAGCCCCCCCCACCAAAAAAAATCCTGGCTACGCCCATGTATATGACATGGATCTCTAAGAAAGGCGTTCATCATAGACCCAGCCACCTGGGAGACAGAGGCACATGACAGAGCATCATGTCGTCGCGCTGTGAAAACTGGCGCACAGGTTGCTGAGGAAAAGAGAACTACGCTGGCAGATGAAAAACGCCAGAGATGAAAACCAAGGCCCACGACACTAGCTCCAGCTGGAATAACCTGCCCAATGTGCAGTCGAACCTTCCAGGCTCACACAGGTCTCACCAGCCACACGAGGAGGCATAAAACCACAGTGCAAAGCCCCCCTAGAAAGTGTTCATCATCGAACCACGATGGACGAACTATATAGATTGCTATAATATTGTGAATATAATTAAAAGTTGAGATATTAATGAAAATGGCCAAAAACATTTTAGTGTACACAGTATTTCTTACCACTAATTGTTTGTTTATTTTTTAATTTTGTTTCAACGAAACAGAACTAGTCGAGTACATAGAAGGATTTATTTTTTAACATCATTGCTTTAAAAAAAAAAAAGGACATTTTACAATTTGTCACTTCGATTTTATTTTCCCAGTGAACATCGACACGTCTTTCTTTATCTAACCAACAAGAGGTCTCACTTCAACGAAATATCATTTTAGTTTTAAATAACAGAATAATAACAAATAAAGTGTGTGTATCTTTGAGAGACTTCCTCTATATCAATCATCTAACGCTAATATCCAAGTAGTCTTCTAAGGATGTATCTATTAGAACGCACAACACTCCCCCCTTTCCTATTAAAAAAATAAATCAATAAAATAAATCTTTGATTGCTTTTCAAACTTCAAGTTTTAAAAAAAGGGTTATAAATAATTTTTTTTCATCATATTTTACGAAAAAGAAGATTGCTTCAAGTAACTTTGCATTAGGGTTATAAAAAAGGCAATGTCACCGATTCCAAATATAAGTTTCATGTCTCAACTGTGTGTTAGCGACCATCGCTTGAGGCAATACAGTGTCTTGGATTAAGATTACAGAACATATAAATTATTTTACCAATTAAAAATTATACCAAGAATTAAAAAAAAGGACTATTAGCGTATTAGAAATTGTTTGTTTCAATTTTGTAATATTCATAAATATTTTTGTGTGCTTTATTTAAAAGGTTTAATTGTACATGAAATAATAACTACACCGGCTCTATATGTTAAGAATTTTTCAAATGGATTATTTATTTACATATTTATTTATTATTTTAAATATTTCAATTCTGTTTTCATGTATAAAAACTAAATTATATAAATGGAGGTCAGTAACAATATTTCAATCATTGGTCTCTAAGGGTCAATGCCAATTCTATGTCATTGGTCTCAAAGGTCAATGCCAACTCTATGTCATTGGTCTCTAAGGGTCAAGGCCAACTCTATGGGTTTGTCTGCGACTAGGATGACGTGGAATGTTATTTTCGGTTTCTGGTCCGGTTTAGGTTCAGTTTTGTCATTAAGCTCAACTTTGATCTTTCTAAGCACATGGACCAGCGCCATCTTCAGCTCCAAGTAGGCCAACCTCATCCCTATGCAGAGCCTGGGGCCACTGCCAAAGGGCAGGAAGCTTAAGGAATCTCTCTTGCTGACATTCTCTTCAGAAAATCTCTCTGGGTCAAACTTGTCGGGTTCAGGAAAGTGTTTGGGGTCCTTCATAACCTGTTCAAGTACCGCAAATATCCAAGTGCCTTTAGGTATAGTGACTCCGCCGTATGTTTTAGTCTCTAGAGCCTTTCTGGTGATGATCGGTATAGGTGGATACAGTCTCAATGTCTCGTCCACGACCTGTTCCATATAGGTGAGTTTGTTGAGTTCTTCATGAGTCGGTGTGTCGGATTTGAGTTGGGTCAGAATTTCTTGGTACACTTTCTCCTAGATGGGAATAAATGTAAACGTATAATAAATGTGGAAATTAAACTTCGTACGTCTTACTATCATATAAATTCTAATTCAGGAAACCGGTTTTATATATTGTGATTGATCTTAAAAAGTAAAAGTACACATATGAATTTGTACTAGCGCATGGACTAATAAATGTGTCATTTCTATATGCCATTAACATCTCTTAGATATGGATAAGCATTCGATTTCTTTAAGAAAAATATTAATTAGTATATAATTGTTTCCACTTGCAATGTAAAAAGATCAATAAAAATAGATGTCCAATATGTTCAAGTTTTAGTAGCGACAAAAAAATCTGCTAGTTTAGTTTTATTTTCACATTTTCTGTAGTTCTGATGTCCAAGAATTGAAAGCTGTAGTTCTGATGTCCAAGAATTGAAAGTTGTAGTTCTGATGTCCAAGAATTGAAAGCGGTAGTTCTGATGTCCAAGAATTGAAAGCTGTAGTTCTGATGTCCAAGAATTGAAAGCTGTAGTTCTGATTTCCAAGAATTGAAAGCTGTAGTTCTGATGTCCAAGAATTGAAAGCTGTAGTTCTGATGTTTAAGAATTGAAAGCTGTAGTTCTGATGTCCAAGAATTGAAAGCTGTAGTTCTGATGTCCAAGAATTGAAAGCTGTAGTTCTGATGTCCAAGAATTGAAAGCTGTAGTTCTGATGTCCAAGAATTGAAAGCTGTAGTTCTGATGTCCAAGAATTGAAAGCTGTAGTTCTGATGTCCAAGAATTGAAAGCTGTAGTTCTGATGTCCAAGAATTGAAAGCTGTAGTTCTGATGTCCAAGAATTGAAAGCTGTAGTTCTGATGTCCAAGAATTGAAAGCTGTAGTTCTGATGTCCAAGAACTGAAAGCTGTAGTTCTGATGTCTAATAATTGAAAGCTGTAGTTCTGATGCTATGTATCTCTTACCTGAACGTCTTGGTGCTGGGCCAGGAGATAGAGACAAAACTGTAACGTGGTGGATGTTGTCTCAAACCCTGCAAAAAGGATCAACATAGACTGACCCATCAATTCTTCCTCGGACATGTTCTTAGGGAGGTCATCCCAAGACTGACTTGTAGCCACATCTGCCAATTTAGAAAGAATAACAGGAAGACAATTATTACAAGTTCAAATAGTATAAAAGAAATCATTTCCTCTGATTGCAGTTAATAGTGTTGCAAACAAAACAAAGCTAAAAAAACAACCCAGCTAACCATTCAAAGCTTCAGCATCGTGATCGCCTAATTCTTTAGCTTGTATTAAACTCTGTAGTAAGTCTTTAGGAGTTTGGTCCCCTCTTCTCATCATGTCCTGTCTCTCTGTGACTGTTGTATTGAGAATATGTTTGAAATACTTGTCAGCATTCAGATCCATGTGATCAAAAACTCCGAGTCGAAGCGTCTGTGAATACAAAAAATCTAAGTGCTAGCTAAACCATTTTAACTTCTACTTATTTCACTCCAGTGGGGGTAAAAAAACTAGACCTTTTTTTTTTTTAAATGAATACTTTAACATGGATATAAGGCCAAATTGTAGTGAGAGTTGAAGGCTCGCATATTTACGACCTTACCAACACGGCTTGGGAGAGTCGCACTAAACTTGACAGACACGAAACGGTGTCAGGTTTATGAGTGCTACACAAATCATTACAAGCAAGAAAACTTTGTAAATCACTGAAAGGAAACTTATAGAGAGTGTGTTTGTCTGTGTGTGTGTGTACAAGGTGATGGTAAGACAGGGTCTGGCGTTCCAGTACCACCTCACGGTGGTCGCCAAATAAACACCCCGCTCTTTAGAAGGGGTAGCCAAGGGTACTGGTTGCTCGCTACTGATGAATGAGCAGTCAGCGAGTGAAAATTGGCATCAAAGATGCTATGACCCCTGTATGGCCCCGGGGCAACGCTGAGTAAGAGACCCACGGGCTCTCCGAAAAGCGGATAGCGCTGGACACCAGCTCGAGGGTTGGTCGGGATCTTCTGGGTCCCGGCTTTTTCGCGGGTCTCTCTCTGGGCAAAGACTGGACTGACTGGCGCGGCCTTCGCGGGCTGTGTCTGGCGGTCTGATCGGCGCCCACGAGCTAGGTTCTAACTAGCCCGACCCCAGTGAGTAGTAGAGGTAGTAGTTCTAATACTGGGAATATCAAACAATCCTCACAAACCCACTCCTCCTGTATGCGAGCTCTTGCCATATGGAGGTGGTGACCAGTGGTGCTGACTTCCCACACTGCCCCCAAATTAGAAATAATTAAGGCCGAAAACGGCCTTCGCCTTCCATACATTCATGATCAGTACACAAATAACCAAAAAAGCAGGTACGAGCAGTCCTAATCAGGCTCCGTTGCACGGGTAGCGGGCGGCAGGCCCAACTACGCAAAATCCTGTACTACGCGCCCGTGGTTCCATTCCGGAGGAACTTGTCGAACCAAGAAAAAATCAGCAAAGGTTTTTCCCCCCAGGACAAAGCCCTCTTCCCAAGCTACACTTCATTCGTTCTTCACTCGAAATTGAAACACATGCTCCAAAAAACTGCGTGAAAAAATAACCGTTGCGACCACCGTTGTAATGATTACCGATTCCCACTCATGCCTCCAAGCGATGGATGACTTAGGGGGAAAGTCCCAAATGGCGGAATAGTCATTAGGCGCCACAAATAACATCCGCCTACTTATTGGAGCTGTCATCTTTATGCAGTGGGTGCCCTCGCACTGCGGCGTGAGGGCCAATGCCGTGGCTGATGCTCTAGAACGAGAAAGAGCGCTGGCCGTGCCCACTTTCGAAGCACCAAGTACGTACCAACAGGCTACCAGTTACCATAGTACATGATAGATGGGTGAAATCCTGGGATGACTCCGAAACTGCCAGGGGAGTCTGGCAGCACAAGCGCCACCCTAACCGAGAGGACCCGTGGTGGAGGCTAAAACGGTCAGAACAGTCGATTATAATGGCGCAGTAGCGCACGGGACACTGCCCCATTGGTGCATATTTTGTCCGGTTCGGACCAATTTTGATGCCCGTTGCCGACACTGCGGGGAATCAGAAGAAGCGGTGGTGCACGTCTTGCAAGAGTGTCCGCAGCTCCGCGAGCTGCGTGGAGACGTTTCCAATGGTCAACTAGTTTTGTATGGAAGCTGAGAGGCACTACGCCGCACAGCAGGGCACTACGGGAGACCTAGGTCTCTCTGCCTTGTCACCAATCGGAGTTCATCTCATGTAAGAAAGGGACTATTTATTTTTAGTTGTAGAGAAAGAGAAATGATTTAATGTTTGTCTTTTATAATGATGCAAGATAAGCGGTGCTTTCGTAAGCTGTGTTACGTAAGCCTGACGACTCGGGGATGTCAGAGTGTAAATACGTGTTTTTATTTTGAGTTAGATTTGTTAAAAATATAAGTTTATTCCATTTCATCTCAAATTGTTTTGTCTACATTGTAACAAAAGTTAAATGTAGTTTGGTTCACAAAGAAATTCATGTTATTCCAAGTCTTATAAGTTAAACTATAATATGCTCATAGCGGTTGGATCAATAAATATCTGTTCAAGAGTCATTTAAAATGCCAGTGGAAGTATCTTACACGACGTGGGGCTTGATGTGCATCGCCGTCGTCATTCCCGTCTGCTGGCTCATCACGCAGAACAAGAGGAAGAGATCCTGGGAGTTCTACGGGGTCAAGGACGTGAGGTTTCCAGCAAAGGGATTTGTCGATTTCAGGCAAGTTTCATGACTGCCAGGTGTTACATGATGTCAGCTACTCAACGCAGCGGTTTGTCATCTTTTAAGTAGAAACATTCGACATGACAATACATTACAGTTTGTTCAACTACCAGCAGTTTGGTGCGCGCTGTAAGTCAACGACAATTAACAAACGACCGT